ACTAAAATAGCGTCGATGTAATGTACAGCGCAAGACAATCGTCATTGAAATTTCGAATTAAATTTTTACTGTTTAAGAAACATTGTCAATTTTTTCTCTGTAGCACAGGGCCCCTGAACGTGGCGGGGCCCCTAGGCAGTTGCCTACAGTGCCTAATGGATAAAACGGCCCTGCTTACATTGAATTCAATCAGCGTATGATCATCGCCAATTTTATATAGCTGGTGTTAAAAGACCAACCAATTTTCAGGTTTACGGCTATCAATGCTCGTAGCCTTGTAATTTTTAACCCAACCTAGAAGACAAGGTAACTCTTGTATTAAGAGGACGCCACATCGCAGGGAGAACTTTTCTTCGCAAATTCTCTTTTCCTTATTAATTGATTTAAAATAAAGAATAAGTGAGTTCAGACAAACCTAGAGTAAACCATAAAGTTTCAAATGCTGATAAGAAATTTTTTAAGTATCAAAATAAAAATACAATATGAGAAGATAATTTAGGATTACGCAATGGAGAAGTATTCTTCCATTATTTTTTTCAGCATTTTGATATTTAGAATTTTTTTCTCAGCGATTGAAGCTTCCTGACTTACAGTAGATTTGTCTGAATTCATTTTTTCCCTCGATTTAAATTAGTTATGAAGATAAAAACGAATTTGCGATGAAAAGTTTCCCCCGTGGTATGGCGTTCCTTTAAGCATTATCATAAACTAGTCCTCGTGGAAGACTTTTTGTTGAAAATAAACATTTGCTTGCGGCTTTTGAGTCGCGATGGTTCAGGGGATAGAGCGTTCGCCTTCCGATGAGGCGAACCGGGTTCGAATCCCAGTCGATACGAATTCAGCATCCGGCTTGTACCGACCACAGTGCTCACGTGAAATATCCGCAGTGGTAGACGGATCATGGGTTAGAGTCCCCGTGCAGTCAGGCTAACCGAGAGAGGTTCTCGTCGTCTTCCTGTCCATGTAACGCAAATGCGGGTTATCTCCATCAAAAAGTCCTCCACGAAGGCAAATTTCTCCCAATACTCGATCCAGGAGTTCCCTTGTCTTCTGGATTGGGTTCAAAATTACAAGGCTGCGGAGTTGAACATTAGCAGTCGTTAATGTTCAACTACTCAGAACTGTTCAACTACTAGAACTCAGGTTAAATTATATAGCATGAAGGGCTGGGGGCTGGAATGGCGGAGTTCCGAGAAAGGGAGACTGACATTCAAGTTTTTTAAAGACCCGAAATTAAATAGACTACAAGCAAACTTCTATCTCAATCAATTTTTAACAGGCCACGGAGTGTTTGGAGAACACCAATATAAATTATTCCACAAAACTCCAGAATGCAATTACTGTGGTGAATATCAATCTATTNTAAAAATATATCGGAAGCAGTAACCCGGAAGTCTGGAAAGAGCAATTTTGCCACTAGCGCCACCACCCTTAGCTTTACACGATCACCCATCCATATTGCTGTTTTGATGTTTATCACCTTACATGATTTTAGCTGCTCTATGTCCGCCATGTTCATGGGCTGTTGACATGTCTGATGTGTGTTTTATGTTTGTACTGTTTTCTGGATTTTTTAAAAATTTTAATAAACATTTACCCGTATGCCCTAATTAAGGGCGGGTCGGGGTAAATTCTTCCATTAGCAGTCGTAAACCCATAAAATTGGGTCGGCTGTTCAGCAACATAAAAAAATAAAAACAATTGCTTTACATTAAGAGAAAAACCTCTCACGGATCTCGACGACAAGGGAATTCTAACACATGATCCGTCTGCACAGAGAATATTTTATATCAACAATGTGGTTAGTGTGAGCTTGGAGCAGAACTCGTATTAACCAGCTATCGCTAGGATTCGAGCCTGGGTCACCTCATTGGGTAGGATCATTGATTATCAAAATTATACACAAGAGATCAAATGTTACCATTCTGATTTCATTGTTCCTCTCACTCTGATTTCATAAGCTGTGCCATTCACCGTAACAAGACCTTCTATCTGACCGCAACAGAACTTGCTGCCTTGGCACCACTGGTAAAGATCGTTCTCTGTGTTTGCTTTGGACATTCTGCGTAAGTTAACCTTTAAAATATAATAGTAGAAATTGAATTTAATCCAACGAGGAAAAATTTTCGATTGTACATTGCTCTTAAAAATTCTTTTTCTTTCAAGTTGTTTAACTCTTATGGAATGATCTTTTCTAATTCTAAAATTGTAAATAACAGTTTTCGAACGCTAATACCTTCACCTACCGATTTCTCTTTGGAATTTACCAGCAACTTGATAAAATAATGTTTTTTCGCATACAAACTCACAGAATCTATTATGGATAACTGCCGACCAGTCTGTGTAGGGGGCAGGTAAGAACAGCAAATATATATATATATATATTGGTATAGAGATGAGATATCCGCTATGCAATGATCTCAAAATTTCGAGCTGGAATGAATAACTTTGACGAGCACAGTACCTCCAATGGTACTGTTACTGATTTTTTCACTAATCGAAATAGTGGCGACGACGAGTTCTGCGATTGAATGAACTTTTTGTTAAGACAAAACAAAACAGTTTTACCGACAAGCTCCGAAAGACAAGCGGCAGAGATAACTCTTAGTCTGACTAACTAACTCCACTATACTCCGTTCACCCTTTTATATAATTTTTCACCACATCTCCAAAATTCTCGAATTGTCTCTAAGACGACAGAACGTCTAGGATTCCAGGTTATGGTTAAGACCTCGCGAATGACAGCTAGTCTCGAAAACTATACTGGCAGGACAGAAAGGAACCAGTCCGTAACAGTATCACGTGAATTTGGTTTCAAAAGTACAACCCTATTATGTGTAGTAAGTGTTTTTACAGTATTCTGAGAAATACCGTGAAGAAAAAAAAGTAGGCATGCGGCAAATAAAAATATACAGTCTTAAAAAATAATAGCTCGCATAATTTCTACAAAAATTTTTATTTTGCCATTTTGTCTGAGCTCAAGGGGGTGTTTAAACCCCTAAACCCCTCCCTTGCGTACGCCACTGCACCCGCATAAGTTTGAAGATTTATTTTTATGCCACATGCTAATTTTCGCAAATAGTCTTACAATTTTTTTAAAGGGACACTTTTTACTCGATTTTTGAAAAAAAAAAACTTTTTTTTATAGAGTTGTAACAAGTTTAAAGTGTTTTTACTGTCAATATCCTGAGTAGTAATACTTCTCACGAATTTTTAAGATCCAGTACTACTACTAACGTGCAATTGAAGTGTACAGTGAGCAAAAGAAGAAAAAAAAAGGGTATAGAGAAAACGGACCACACTGAGTAATTTTAGCTCTCATGATCTTCACGTTCTATGACTTCATCTGAATGGTTCGAGGGACTTGACCTAAAATATCCTAATTAATTAGTGTAGACGATGTTTAAAGTTATGAAATCAAACACAAAAACGCACTTTCTCTGAATGAATATATCTTTTTTCCCCCCGTAGGATTCGTTTTTTGACCCTCAAAATACAGGGGGTAGACGCAATCTAAGAAATATGGTCCCGATTGTTTAGCCAGGAAAGCGGTGCAAAGTTTGTATCCCTTCGTGGTAACTTTTTTTGCTTATTTCGCTATATCAAGAACATTTTAAGCGAACGGAAAATTTTTTGCGCACAATTACAAAATTCGTTTATCCAAAAATAATTCCATGCAAAAGAAGAAAAAAAACTTTTAATAATCATTTTTTATTTTTCTTAATAACGTTCGAACGTTTAAACATTTTGAAGTACAAGATATCCAATTTTTACACTATTTTAAAGAATTTAAAAGAAGTCGTATTTTTAAGATTCGAATTCCCAGGACCTATTCTACGGATTTCTCTCAAATTTTGTAATTTGCCATGTAAAATTACATTCATTAAAATGATGTAAAAAAATTGTATACCTTACAATTCAAGTAATTTTTTACTATTATTAAATAAACGAATTAAAACAATAAATATTTACTGAAATTAATTTTTTGCATGGAATTTATCTTTGGATAAACAAATGTACGAAATGTACAAAATTTTTTCAATTCGCTTAAAAAGTTGTCAAGATATAACGAAGTACGCAAGAAAAAGCTAACATTAAGGGGTCCAAACTTTGAGCAGCTCTCCTGACCAAACTATTGGGACCTTATTTCTCAGACTGCGGCTCCCCCTATATTTTGAGGGTCAGAAATATTAATCCGTGGAAAAAAAGGTATGTTTATTCAGATTAAGTACGTTTTTGTGTTTGATTTTGTAACTTAAAGTATCGTGTGCACTAATTATTTATCATATTTGAGATCACCCCCACGAACCATTAAGAATGAGTCCTAGATCGTGAAGATCCGATCACTAGATCAAAAGTCTTTTTTGAAGTGAAACTTCTAATGCGACTTCCAACAAGGTTGCGTTAAACGTTTAACGCTACCATGGCAACGAGCGGCCTGTGATCCTTGCAGGAGATTTTAATGTGAATTTCTCGTTACCTGAGGCTGAAACATTATTTAACCTTCCTTAAAGACAAATGTGGATTGGAAAAGATAAATGGTAGGAATGATCCAACAAAATAAAGGGGGAACTACCATTGATGCAGTTTTAGCAAGAAATATTGAAAAAATAGAACTCAAACATTTCGTATCTTACTTCAGTTATCATAATCCCATTGTAAATGTTATAGATTTGGATATTTCTCCACTCGAAAATGATAATTAAAATATGCGACCAATTGTGAATTGTAAGCAATGTTAATAAAGTTTGTCTTAAAGAAACAATATGATTTGACTAAAAATCAATTTCTTCCCCTTCCTATTTTCATTTCCATATTACGAAGTTTCACTTCTTCCGCGCGGAGGGACTCCACGCACTATTTTTTTTTATTNTTTTTTTTTTTTTTTTTTTTTTTTTTTTTTGTGCACTGTACTCCGTAATTATCATTTCATAAATGATTCAGTTAATTAATTTGATAAATAATCTGTATCCCTTTAAAAAATTTAAAATTTATTGATTTACTAGCAATTAGGGTTCCTATAGGCCAGGGGTGGCGAACCTTTACACACCAACGTGCCATTTTTTCTAAAAAATTGTTTAATGAGGTCACAGACGTGCCGTCAAATAATTTTGACTTCGTTATTATTGGGAAAATAATAATACTAAATACTATCAACTCAAAACTCTTTATTTGAAGAAATTTTTTTTGCAATTTCGCAGTTGTACGCGTAATTCTACTTAAAGTAACATCAGATCAGTGTGACTTCTGTTGTTGCAGATTAGATGACAAATGACTTATATTAGGTTGTAAGATGTTAATTTAAGCAGGACTGTTAAATTTTTTTGCTAGTTATTTTTTGCTAGTTTTTTTGGTTACTATTTGTTTTTTAGCATTAATTGCTAATTTTATATTAATAATGGTTTATTATTTTGTTTGTTTTTGTGAATTTTAATTTAATGGTTACATATGCTTCATAGTGTAATATCATTTGTTTAAGAACAATTGTGATCGGTGGAGTGCCCAAAATATTGTGTCGCGTGCCATAAATGGCACGCGTGCCATTGGTTCGCCATCCCTGCTATAGGCAAACGTAATTCAAATAGTTCTGACTTGCGTGTAACAGTTGCGTGTAAATGGTGGAGAATCAAATTAATATGCCCTAGCAGCGCGAACATGGAGTGCATGTGCAATGCAGATGCATGGAGTATATCCCCAATGTATCTTTATACAGCAAAATTTTAAAATTATGAGTCTGAATTTCGTTTTCGTGGATTTAATATTTGGTAGTCTTAGCTATTCATTACTCTTATTACGTGGAAAATCAGTAATAAATATTCATATTTGTGAAATAATTAGCTTTAAAAGATATCATGACTGCTGACTGCTAATCTTAGCAATTATGTTATTATCTGCCAAAAAAAAAATGCTAACTTTTTTAATAAAGCATTAATTATTTGAACATCGTGTAAACAAGCTAATAATATAACTCTCTTGATATATTTAAAGAGCTGAATCATTTGAACGGCAATCTGTGCAAATTTGGCATGATTGCATGTCTTGTGGCTTTGTCAAAAAAAAAGAAAGAAAACAAAGCGATATGGATAACAAGAAAGTGGAATGAGAAAGGAAAGGAAACCTCACTAAGTATAACTACATTAATTCTTTTATGTCCTTTCCCTATTCTGTAAGATTTCGGAAATGTTAGTTATGACTAGGACTGGGCGATATAAGAAATTTTATATCGTGATGCATCGTCAGTTTTGCATAGCGATATAGCGATGTATCGTGATATAGTATTTTTGAATTTCATTTACTTGTAAGGCGCAGAAAGTCGGATTTCTATCAAAACTTCATACTCAGATTGATTTAAATCAATTTATGAATTTGAAGATACATATGTTTTGCTTAATAAAGATATTAATGTTATATTTTCTAAAAATGATCGCGCAAATAACGAAAGATTTCTTAGTTTAAAAATAAGCTCGTTAAAAATTTTTTGTATGCTTAAAACAAAGTGCTAAATAAATTAAGAAAAAAAAGGCTTTTGAAACACTATTTTTTATCATTATTATTTCACATAAATATGTTAAATTGAATTATTTCCGAATTATGAACAAAAAAACAAAGTAAGGTTTAATTTCTTAAAAATAAAAACAAAATAATTATGATATTCGATAATATATTTAACNAAAAAAAAAAAAAAAAAAAAAAAAAAAAAAAAAGGAAGTCTCAAACGTTACTAATTTTTTTGAATAAACAAAGTTGATTGACTTATGTCCTAATCCAAAAGAGGACAAATAAGTTTTGTTATATTTTATTTATAAAAATAAAAACAACTAAAGATTGATAAATTTAAAATCAGTCATAAAAACCCATTAAATTATTAGAAGTTTTGTCCAAAAAGTTTTAAATAAATTAAAAAATAGCTTAACAAATTTAATTACTTTGTAATTTAATTCTTTATAGGCACCTTAAATTAGATTTCCGACTGTAATAAATTCAATAATGTAAAAAATTACCATATAATAAAAAAATTAATTTTCACATTTAAAAATGAAAAAAAACGTTCTGTTTTAAAAAAATTTTACCTAATTAATTAAGAAACCATTCTTTATATATTCTTTTCAATAATAGATTACGTTCAGAACAAGGTAACGACGGCGATCACAAAGTCTGTCCCACTGAAAATAATCTACAAGAAACGATATCAAGTCGCGACAAAGAAAAGAAAAAAACTATGAGGTGCGAAAACGATATATATTCTCAAAACTATGGTTCTGATTCTACCACTCATCAATCAAGGCCATTTCAACATAACGAAGCGAACATTGTCTTCCACAGCGCGAGTTGTCATCGGAAGGTAAGAGAAGATCCTTGCGTGTCTTGTATCGTTATATCGTTTTGTGTTCGTCTTCTTTACTCGACGGCTTAAATCAGATTTCTGATGCATCGCCTGGAACAAAGCGAGAGTAGCTGTATCGCTATATCGTTTTGCGTTCGTCTTCTTTACTCGACGGCTTAAATCAGATTTCTGATGCATCGTCTGGAACGAAAGTCGCTGTATCGGCCTGCCGATATAGGCGTTAAATCGATATGTCTCGATATATCGATTTATAGCCCAGTCCTAGTTATGACTCTCTTTAGATATCCGAAACTCAAGTATATCCAGTCACTTAATGTAGTGGGCAAGATCCACGACCGGAGATTCTCGCTTGACCGAAACAATTTTCGTAAGAGAGGATGAATTCGTTGAAATAGTGAACTACAAAGCTAAGTAAAAAATGTTCTAATTATTACGTATGTGTATGTGTATTACCTGTATTTTTGGGAAAATACAACCTAGGAGAGGTTTTTCTTTGCACATTAAACTTACTCCTCCATAGAAAGTGTATTGTGCAGGAGACCAGATGCCATCGAGCATTTCCATCATGTTAAAACAAGGAAACTCATATTCGACATCATCTTCAGTTTCACATTTTGTGCAAAGCTGAAGAGCTTCCAGTATCTAAGAAAAAACAATTTTTGGCTTAAATCTAATTCTAATCAATAATAGATGCTCTAGAAATAAAATGAAAAATACATGTAAAATGATTTTTTAAAAAAAATACGTTTTTTAAGTTGGTTGAAAATTAAAAAAAAAATATTTTGATTTTTGTCGCACCTAAAATGAAAAAAAAAAAAACAGCTTCCTTTGTTTTGCCTTACAGTTATGACATATTGTTTTCTCCATTTAAATCTACTTTTATTGAGTATTGAGTATAGTAAAGTGCGGCGTGCTCTCTGCTTTCGCTTCTAGCACTGCGTTTCAATAGGTAAGTCTTAATTTAGCCTATCAAGATTTATATGAGCTCTGAGGCAACTTGACGCAGTATCTACTTTTACAACATGTATTTACTATTTGAATTGTAGTTGGGTACTTGCAACTCGAGAAAAAGTGAAGTGATTATGCCTACCCACATATGGTTTAAATCAGATTTAATTGGATGCCTTTAGCGACGTCACATCTGTGAATCGAACCTGACTGACATCTGAATAGACAAATGCCGTGGACGTCAATTGTAGGCATCCAATTATCTTATTAAGTTTGTGTCCATTAGTTTTTTTGCTTCTAATTTTTTACTGAAACTTCATGTGGCATCAAATTTTTTTAATAGTATTCAGGTGTTATTGATATAGATACTTCATAGATTGAACTTTTATAATCATAATATATTGGGATCCAGTTGAGATTTGAGTATTCAGACATTTATGCTAGTCGTAAAGTGGTCAAAGGTTCGATTGCAAGATGCCGTCCTCATTTGCAGCAAAATAATTTAATATGGCAAATGAAATTAAAATTTTAAAAACTACGTTTTTACAAGTTGATGAAAAAGAAGAAAATAATTTTAATTTTGTCATACGAAATCCTTACAAAGACGAGTAGAGAATTAAATGTTACATCTTTTTTAGGTCAGCTAAAACATAAATCAGTTCCTCTTTTAAGATTATTTGAAAAACCCTTTTTAAATTTTATTTTATTCATTTTTTTAATTTCTTTTTTCCGTCTCCCTGTTGATGTTGGAAAGTAAACTATAAATTCTATTCCATGATAAATTTTGATTTCCTTTTTCAAAAAACAATTTTTTTTTACTTGTATTGCCATCAATTGATAAAAAAATCCCGAGTTAGTCAATAAGTGGATAGAATTTAGGTTGACTGTAAATTCCTTTTCGAGGTAGGAAGACGATGAATTCTGATTGAAGCACGAATGAACGAAACTTGTTTTGTAATCAGATACAGAGCTCCAGACGAAATTTGAATCATCTAGCTAGTCGAAATTTCGATCGACGATATCTTTTATTTAGAAATAAAATTATTATAAATTATATTTGTGGAGACAAGAAGCGATTGAAAATTGCATTTTCATCAGATACAAAGCACTAATAAAGATTTGAGTGCTCTAGCTAGACGGATGATGGTCAACTTTGCAATTGCCATATTCCACTCCATATATGCAAAAGTAAGTACAAACACATTATACATTGTAAACGTCAATTATTTTTAAGTTTTTCATCATTATTTGTTATTTACTAGTATGTGAGCTGTTAAGTGAGTCAATTTCAGTTAATTTGGGGAAAAAAGTTACCCCTTTCTCAAAAATTCGCAAAACGATTTGATGACATGCATATACCTAAATTTAAAAGAAAAAAAAACTTAAGTATTTATTCAAATCGAACTTTCTAACAATTTATATCTCTTGATATTAATCCATTTCCTGTTGACGTTGCGTTTGTGTAACACTTTGTAGTGATGTAAAAAGTTATGAAAAAAGTGGTAGGGAATTCTCACTTACATTGAGTTAATAATTTCCAATGTAAATATAACTTTAGTTTCAAAAGAATGTTACGCATCCTTAGTTTCAGATCAAAATATAACTACTTTAATTATAATGTATATTGGTAAATAAATGGTAAATGTATTTATTTCATATTATTAATAATTAAATTCATATTATATTTTATTTATATTTCATTAAATTCATATTACTTTATTTCATATTATTAATAATTAAATTCACATTATATTTTATTTATATTTCATTAAATTCTTATTACTTTATTTCATATTATTATTATTATTAATTAAATATTGGTATATGTAATTGATGTTGAAAGAAATAATTAAGTTATCAACTTTCATTTTTTTTTTTTTTTTTTTTTTTTTTTTTTTTTTTTGAAGAGAAGTACACAAGAAAAGTTTGGTCGTGAAGAAACTTCTTTCAATTTTAGTTTTAAAGAGTAATTTTTGATAAAACTAAAATTGACTTAGAGCGAATGACGGTCGAATTTTGAAAGTAAGGTACATTTGTTAAGATTTCATTTGTTTAAAAAATTATAGAGATGGAATGTTTCAAATGAAGTTTTTACATTAACCAGTATATCTTTCCGCTTCAGTTTCCTGGGATTAATTTCCTAAGTATGACGTTTTGTAAAAAAAAAATTTTTTTTGACTAAATATTATACAGGGTTATTCATAATTCCCTCCGGGATTTCGAAGTGTTATAATGAAAAAACGAAGACGAATATGACAAGAAAGAACATATGAAATTATTCCGAAAGTATTCAAGTTTTAATTTAAGCAGTTGCCGGTAGATGGCAGTAACATCTACCACTGAAGCCAGATGTAGTAAAGAAAAATGGCGTTTACAGGCGGAGGGAGTTATGAATAACCCTGTATTTTTGGCATCAGAAAACAGTTAAAATTTTTTACAGTTTGAAATATCCCGGTAATTTTGAAAAGACAGACACGATTGTTGTAAGGAAATATTTGAATTTTCTTGAAAAGTAAACACAACATATTCAGTTTTCATCCATTAATAAAAAATATATAAATTTGAACGATGTTTTTTCTTTTTGAAAAAAAAAAAAAAATACGTTTCAAAGTTAAAAACAAAAAACAAAGCACGAGAAAAAATCTTGAGACATTTCAAAGACAGAAAAAGAAGGGGAAAAATTGCTTTCAGAAAACGAAGAAAGAATGAAATTACACTGCTTTTTTTTTCAGTTCAAGAAATTCATATTTACTCTATAATTATTACTGAAAAATATATGGCACATTATCTGGAATGGAGGGGGGGGGGGCTTAAAAAAACAAACTAAAAACTATATATTCTAATTTAAAGAACAATTTATTCTTCTAGAGTAGCAGAAGTCTCACTTGTAAGAGTTTTAAACCATCTGCTTCGGGAAACAAAAGTTGAATGTCGTCAGCAGAATAGATTCCTGTCACCCTGGCTTTTTCTAGACTCTCCTGTGACAACAAGTAGCCAATAATAGTGCTGCATAACCACGCGGGCTCTAAAATAACAACATCCTCTGTTTCACATGATATATACAACACCTAAGGGAAAAAACAAAACATGGCAAAATTTATTTTAAAACGATAATTCTGGAAAATAAATTCCAGTTGAAAATGTACAGCACTTCAATAGGAATATCGATTGATTGTAGAGTTTAATGGGCACAACAACCAAATTCTACCATACTGTGTTGAGATATGTAGGAATAATTATTTTTTAAGTAACATATTACAGCTTATTCCTGTCTTGTGATACTATATCCTTAAATCTATCATTTTTTTTTCTTTATCTTTCTCAGATTCTCTTTTAGTAAATCAGGTGTAATTGGCATTTGTTGACTTTTTTCTCCTGTTACCAATTTCTAAAGGAAAAATCTAGAAGTGTTATGAATAAATTTTGTTTGTGTTATGTTTTTTTTAAAAAAATGTTCTTGTTGAATCGTGTATGCATATATTTTTTTTAAATGTTGCTCCAGTGTGTGTCGGGTCATATGCATGTCAAAATAAGTTTTTTAATTTAAATCCGTTAGTGTTTTAATTTTGTTTGTGGAAAATAAATTATGATCATAATAATCAAAAAGTGCTCCTTCATTTTTACTTTGATTTTTTTTATTTTATTTTATAACCGTTGAACAGCCGACCCAGTTTTATGGGTTTACAACCACTTATGTTCACCTCCGTAGCCTTGCAATTTTGAACCCAATCCAGAAGACAAGGGAACTCCTGGATCGAGTATTGGGAGAAATTTGCCTTCGTGAAGGACTTTTTGATGGAGCTAACCCGCATTTGTGTTACATGGAGAGGAAGACCACGAGAATCTCCCACGGTTAGCCTGACGGCAAGGGGACTCTAACCCATACTGAGGATATTTCATATCAGCAATGTGGTCGGTACAAGCCGGATGCGAAATTCGTTTCGACTGGGATTCAAACCCGGTCCGCCTCATTGGAAGGCGAACGCTCCATACCCTGAGCCATCGCGGCTCGCTTTGATGTATTTAATTTTATATCCGTCGTTGAACATCCGACCCAATTTTTGGGTTTACCACTACTAATGTTCAACTCCGTAGCCTTGTAATTTTGAACCAATCCAGAAGACAAGGAAACTCCTGGATCAGTACCCCCAGAGGTATTAATTTGTTATGAGAACATGGAGGACTTTGCGACTCGACAGATTTAACGTGCACCAGTCACCATTTTCTACACGGGGAGTCTTCGGCCGACGGGGATCGAACCCACGAACTCTTGGACATGGGCCCAGCGCCCTACCGACCAGGCAAATTTATATCCCGGACTCACTTTGGACTATTATCCCGGACTCACTATTATCCCGGACTCACTTTGTATTGCCATTTCTCATAAATAGCATAACATTTCAGTGAGTAAATTTTGTTCTTTTTTTCCCTATGGATACGTTGTTAATGGAAACATCGTCGACTCGCATTTTAAAATGTTTGTGTCGACTTAAATATCGTCAATTATCAAATGTGATTGTTTTTTTTTTTTTTTTTTTTTTTTTTTTTTTTTTTTTTTTTNATTTTTTTTTTTTTTTTTTAATTTATGTCTTCCCTACTCAATATTTTTAAAGGTATCAATGGGTTCAATTTCAACCTCAAATAATTTGACCATTGAGTTTATTGGATTGCTCATTTGTTATTTACTACCACATTTCGCAAGCGACTACGTTCCCCTTTAGTTTTTCACTACCTTCTATTTTCGGTCTCAACATATTTGTTTGTTATTTTCCTTCAAATTGAATTTATTTCGCCTCTTCTAATGATGAATGGTCATAATTTCGTACTGTTCAATATATTTTTGTCATCCCATACCTTGTATAACGGCACCAATGCCTGAATTAACTGAATTATCCAATTATTCAATTTAATTTTGTAACAAAATGCATAGCTTGATGCGCTCTGCTAAAGGAAACTATGGTTTTTTCTTTGTTTCAAAATTAGTTCCAAATTTTATCAAAATATCACACGATTAACTGAGAAAAACCACACAACAATGTTGTGTGGTTTTTGTCAGTGTTCAAGTGGGAATTAAACTTTCAGCAACAATACGGCCCCATCTGAGGGAAATTAACAGGCATCCGTATAAAAATATTTCAGTTAGATAGTCTGGCGTGCAGCAGTCGACATTGTTTGATAATTTTTCCAATCATCCGCGCCATCTGTTATCGAACTTTGTAAACAATTTTCAAACTTTTGAAGAAAGGATTAACTGGTTCTTTAAACAGAAAACAGCACATCGCGCGTCCCCTTCTTTTTTCTATTTTTCGTTCATTTACTTTTCTAGACATTTTTTTAGTGGGGGGAGAGAAACTTCTGTTAACATAGAAATGAGCCTGCTACAGGTTCATTTCTATGTCAGACAGTTGAAGTAGAAGTTTTTTAAATTTTTTTTTAAAACAAAACGGTTTTATTCCGCACATATCGTTTGCTTTTATTAAGGAGCACCTTAGGGTTAATAAAAAAATAAATAATAAGTAAGCAGTTTGATCAGGGAAAAGAATTTTGAGAAAATATGTTTTTGACAAAATAATCAAATCGCAACTTTCCACCAATGTTTACTAACGACTTTTGAAAGCAACGTGTTACTTTCGTGTCAGATACGGTTCTAGATCAAATACAAAATATCAACTACAGAAAATTAGTTGTTTCTAATATACCACTAAACCCAGTGGGAAAAAAACTAAGATACGCTCAGCATTCAAAATGGAAAATATTATACGCCAAGAGAGAAAATAAACAAATAAACGGAGTGAGCGGTTTTAAAATCAAACGATTTTCCTCCATTTTGCAAATAATAAGACTTTTTTCTCTGCACAGTATAATTCTGAGAAAATGAGTTCTCTTTCAGAAACAAGCTGTCTGATTTAAACGGGAACAATGATTGTGTTTCGTTCTTCGTGGCAATTCAGTGAAAAGAATTTCTTTCACGTAATTGAAATGTTTATCTGTCTATGCACACTAAATAAATTATTATATGTCTATCCTTACAATTAAACGGAACCTCGGATGTCTTACGTAGAAAATAACGCTTGTTTATTTTGCATTTCATTCAAATTACATGCAAAGTCTTACAACAAAATCACAAACAAGTTTTCTTTCTTGTTAACAAATGATCGGTTGTTGCGTTCTGCTTATTCAAACGAAGTTCTTACTGCAACCAAGTTTTAAAATTAGTTACAAAGTTCATGAATAGATGACCCTGTTTATTGTAAAAATTTTATTTTCGTGCTGTTTGTCAGAACATGAATTATCTGCACGGACCAAGACTGCACCACCTTGTTGCTGTAAATGGTGGTTATTTCGATACATTACTTTATAGTTTTCTTCATTTAGTAACTAATTTCTAAACTTGGTGAAAATAAATTTAGTTTCCTTAACAGAACGCAGCAAATAAAACATTTCTGAATCCTTCACTTTTCCTATTTGATTTTCAAAGCCTCGGTCTTTTCTGGGAGATTCGATGTATGGAATTCTCCCTCATGATTATCTTTTTTTAAGCATTTTTTATATTAAAGTATGTTCTTTTTACTACATTAAAAATGGTTCATACTTCCCCCATGATCTGAAGCTGTTGCACCAGTTCTTTCATGTGCTCTTCACCGGCCAAAGGATTCACTTCTGAGTGAATAAAATCAGTGAACTCCTTCCAAGATAGAGAGGGACAGCCACTTCGGGATTTTCTCCAATCAGGAAGTTGAGCACAAATAGCTTCTAAGAAACCCGTCATTTTTGGTAGACCCTAAATAAATATCTAAGTAAATCTTGCTGCTAAACATCAAAATAATAGTAATTCAAAGTGTCAAGAAATTTCATTTTCAGCACTTTTTAACGCCCCTTTTTATTGTGGTTTAAACTTTAAACCATCCGTTTTTTCGACTACTGAAACCTAAATAATCAACCTTCTTCCGGCGGAACTCAGACTTTATAAGTAAAGTTTATTAAGGTAATTTCGAATCTTATAACCTACAAAACTGTTTTTAAAATATTTAATTAGAGAAATTAAAAGCTTGAGTTATATTTCGGTTGACTAAAAAATACAGTTTAAAAAAAAANAAAAAAAAAAAAAAAAAAAAAAAAAAAAAAAACACTTCTTTGGTTTTCTTGATGGGCGAAGTGGATTGCTGGAGGCAATACAAAAACTCATATTTCGAACTCTCAGATATTTTTTTCTGCTCGTAAGTTTTATGTTACATAATTTTAAGCAATTAAAAAAATTCCTAAGCAATGGAAAAAGAGATAGAGCTGCTCCACCCCTTAAAGAAAGTAACCTTACCCCTTAGTATCTAAAAATGAAAGAGAATCAACGGCTGTTTAAATGAATTTATTGGGAGTACAAATTAGTTCAATACCCTTCTTTGTGGTCAAAAATGCATTTATTTCAGAACAAAAGGAATGAACAGATTAATCAAAGTATTGTCCATCGCTGGCTACTACTTTTTCCCACCTCTCGGGCACCATCCCCACCATCCCACCATCTCGAAAAAATGTTTCGTCTTTTGAGGCAAGCCAAGTTCAGAACCAGTGATCTGCAAAATCATGCTGCATGTCATGCTGCATGCTCGGAACAACCAGTAATCAGAAAGAGCAATATCCGGTGAATACTGTGGGTGCGGTAAAATATCCCACTTGAGCGTTTCCAAATAATGTTTTGCGACATGAGGCCGACCGTTATCATGCAGAAGATTAACTTTGTCATGTCTTTGCTCGTATTCCGACCGTTTTATTCGTAATCCACGGCTCAAACGAATCAATTGTAGCCTATACTGATCGCCCGTCAGGGAATCGCCAGGTTGTAGCAGCTCATAGTATGCAACACCATTCTGCATTCACTATTCTTAAAACGTCGAAACCATTCCCTACATGATTTATCAAATGGAACATTGTCACCATAAACTTCTACAAGCATTCGATGCGCTTCAGCTGCACTTTTCTTAAAATTAAGGCAGAAACATAAAACCTCCCGCAAATGTTGCTTAGTTAGCACAAAATTTGACATATTCAACAAATTAAAAAACGGGGTTTTTGTATGAAACTCGAAGCGATATAAACTGGATATTATTGACAGATGTCTAACCTTTCTGAAACCACCGAAACCAGCTGTCACTATATGAAACATTCACAGTCAGAGCCATCTTTTGAAAACGGACCGAACTAATTTGTACTCCCAATATATCAATTTAAATGTCTGCTGTACGTGTACTGTAGCTGAAAAAAAGGACTTGAATTGAGTCATCGTTGGAAGTCTTTACTAAGAGTTATTTTCTTTTCATTTTAAAAAAAATTCCTAGTGCGCAATTTAATGTAGGTTTAAATTTATGCAAACCTGCGTTAATTTCTCCTTACACTGTGCTATGTATGTTTTCAGAGCTTTTATGGCCGGTGAACCAACAACATGTGCATCTAGAACAAACACTGAGTCATGAATATCAAACACATTGCCAAAATGAAGACGTGCAACTTGCAGAATTGATGAGGCCTCGCTGCTCAGATACTCTCCGGTTGATGTGACCCTGCTGCATGAGGCCAAGTCTGCATGAGTCGCTATCAAAACTATTCTAGCAGGCTTACTGCTTTTACCACAGAAACCTACAATGAAAAGAGAAACAGAATGATCACAACTTCAATTAAAATCCTGAATCCTTGATTTGAAAGTAAGAATTCTTGAATCCTTGATTTGAATCATCCTTCTTACTTTTAAAAGCATTCTGTATTATTTTGAATTTTTTATTATTATTATTTATTTTCATTCTATATTATTATTAAGCATTCCGTTGATCATACAATTTTTCTTAATCAAATCTAAATCGAAAGTAGTTTATTTTTCTCTAATAAAAATGAAAGTGTAAAGTTTGTTTATTTGTTATTTTAAGCTGTTAATTAGTTTTTAGCAAACATGGAACATTCAGTAGTAAGAATAATTTTTTCTTCTTCTTGGATACTTCTTCTTGGTCTCACATAACATTAGAAAACGGTGCTGTTTAAAATTTTGTGTTCTGATATTTTATGAATGTTCAATATTTCAACAAAAAAGTAAGACATATTTAACCAAGATATTTAGTAATTTTCTAGTTGCTGCCATGGCATTTAACATTAATTTACAAAATATTACTAAATATTGTGACTCAGGTATTTATAGATTAATCATGGAAAATTATTTTAGACAAAACACGTCTACAGAATGATTCAAAACCATGGGACCAAACTTGTAGGAGAGATTGGGTACACTTAGCATATGATTCAGAATCATGTATTATAATACATCAAAGCACCCAACAATAGCCAAGCCCCTACTTCTGTTTTTTAGGAATCATTTATCTCTAAAGGCAATGCTAGGATTACAACTTAATTTTGATCCCTGATAGACTACGCGGACCACTTCTGAACTGGTATAATCCCTGTTTCCAAACTTCTAAATCACAACCAACGAGAGGACTTGTGACTGATGACGACAGATTAAACACAGAGGCACACTTGTTGTTCAGTGGATGGAAATCGTGACCGCAGCTCTCCACCAGTGGAGGGATTTACCAAAGCCTCCTAGAGAGGGGCCAAATCCAAAGCCACTACTCTAGGAGGCTTTGGATTTACCGTTTGCGCCTCTGGAGCGTTGAGCATAACCACATGACAAGTCGGAAATGCAATCCTAGATGAACTTGTGGAGTATGTTAGGAGAGTAAATGTGATTTCAAGTAGCAATGAAAATTTGCTAAGTCACGAATTTCTTAACAAAAATTCTAATCTGGATATTATGTAGAATCTCAAACGTTTGTAATGCGCAGGGTCCACGAAGATGCACCATTTCAAAACGCTCAGCGCATTTCTTAGCGTGCATGCCTTGTTACACCACAAGGACCTTCATAAGTTAAGAAGAATGATTTTTATGGTCTTGTTGTTGTTGACGTATGCCTGTTTAGGCAGAGGGAGTGCGATTGTTCTTGTTTACCAGTGGCGCCATTTATGACCAAGAATTTGACTTCTGCCACACCATACGTCACACCCGTTTATAGGGCAGACCCATTCATTCATCCACAGATCGTAATTTTGACCTGAACCAGAGGTATAGACTTGTTATGGTCTTTCAATTCCGGGATTGAAATTTTTTATTTTGCTATCACAATGAATTCCGTTTGATAGCATTCGCAACAACTTCTTGACTCATATGCTTTAAGTATTTTTTTGTTGTTGTTACATTTCTGATCCTGCATTGTTATGAGATTATTTTGACATCATCGACAGAAATTTTTTAATTAGCGTACTACTATTAGCACAGATTATTATTGATATACCATTATTAATATTGCAACATTATTATTATAATCGAAATTTTGAACAATTTACATTTTTTTTATCAGATCTAATAATCATTTATACCTAGTGGTTCCTGAATAGGTATCCTAGATTGAAGGAAGGCCAGCCAATAAAGTACTTGCTGTAACTGGATATCATATTCGTCCTTGAGACTGAAGAAAACAATGTGCAAACAGTTGGTGTTTCCTATGAAGTTATCGTAAGTCATGTAATAAGGTTCGTGTCCTGAAAATTCCCATATACTCACATTTCCAATACCTAAAAGTATAATGCGCTACATATGATTATTGGATAAACTATTGAAGTATAATATTGACAGATAAAAGCAATGCGATAGTGTACAGGGTTATTCATAATTCCCTCCGAGGCTCCGAAGCGTTATAGTAAGAAAACGAAGACGAAAATGGCAAAAAAGAACGTATGAAATTATTCCGAAAGTATTCAACTTTTAATTTAAGCAGTTGCCGGTAGATGGCAGTAACATGTACCACTGAAGCCAGTTGCAGTAAAGAAAAATGGCGTTTGCAGGAGGAGGGAATTATGAATAGCCCTGTAGTTATATTGCTTTTAACGGTGCACAAAATAAACAAAGGAACGCATATTGTGAAGTACATACCTGATATATTGACTTGTTGGATATCAATTCCTCGGCTATAAGTATCGTAACAAGTATCAAAACTTAATCTGGTTTCTGCTGATCCTGAACTATTAAGCTCTATGATAGATTTATTAGTGATGTTTCCTACAAAAAAAATTTTCAATTGTAGGTATTGAGACTCAAATAATCACTCGCGTATAAAGTAAACTTTTTCTTTTCCTCTACCACATAATTTTTCACAGTTTGCCTCACTTGTTAAATCCAAAATTTGAAAATGTTCTATTTCATTTAATGTTATATTTAATAACAAGCTGAATACCCGTTCTTCGTGCGGGGTGAATAAAAAAAATCAATTAATCAGTACTGAGCAACACTACAGAATCATGTTCAAAACTGAAAGGCATATACTTACGTAATTAAAGAGCTTAGTGGACGAACCAGGTAAGTGACATTTTTATGGGTACTTATGAACCAGTGAAAATAAAGTAAAGTAGTTGAATTAATATAGGCACGTTTTATGTGACAAAATTTATTTTGCTTTCAAACTTGAACTTAACATAACTAATCAACATTAGTTTTTTGCATGCCTGCATAATTTTTATTTTCAAATCAGGCATCAGAAAGTAAAATAGGATGAATAATTCTTTATCCTGCTTTCTAATAAATCGGGTATAAAATAGAAGATCACTTTTTTCTTCTTACCCTGATTATAGCCTCTCTGAAAATGTCTCTTACCTGGGTTCGTCGAAAATCTAATAAACAGATAGAGAAAAAAGATTTTTAAATGTCATCAAATATGCTTTCAAGAGGGACTTTACCTTTTTTGTTCTTCGAGTGAGTTGGTGACATGGATCCCAATGATCGTTTGAACCATGAAGTGAAATATCCACACTTGATGCTGTCGATGAAAGTTGTCTTTCCCACACCACTGTGTCCAAATAGTTTTAATTTAATCTTTGATATTGTTTTCGTTGAAGGGATTAACTGAGATATAAATTCTTCTTTCAAATATATCTGAAAGGAGGATCAAAATAATCTTAATTATTAGGATCAAATGTTATGGAATTAATTAGAATATCACACTTGCATATTACATAGTTATCAGCACATAGAGATATCGAGTTTAAATCAAATCAAGTTATGAGCCACTATTTTGAAAATGGAAAAAATTGACTTAGAGCTAAAAAGTCATTTCTTTTTTTAAAATTTTAATAATCATTTCTGACTTTTGATCTTTCATTTAAATTATAGTATTTAAACCATTGCATAAATAAATGCTATTTCAATTTCTTTTAACATTTATAAAAATGAAACTGTTCTTTATCTTATTGTTTTGTAATTAAACTTAGCTTAGAATTACACTTTCTTCATCTATTCCTAGTGAAGCACTATTAGATCGTTAATCTGAAATTTTTATTTTGATACACCCACCTTCTATGCCTGTTTGAGCCATGCACAATTTTTACCGGTATTGTAACATTACTTTGAAATAAAAAAAAAATTCATATTGTCTTAAACAATGTTTAACGAAACAATGAACTCTTTACATTTCATTGATAAACATACATGAGTCCCATGGTAACAATTTGCTTTTGCCACAGCAGGACTCAAAACTGAATTCAGTTTTCTATTGCAAAAATGACCCATTGAAATTATATCAAGGCCAAGTGAATCCCTAAAAAAATAAATACAGGACTCCAAGAACACACCTCTATATTTAATCTAGTAGCGGCGCCCTTTTAAGCATAGTAGGTATGTGGCGATAAAGACATAAGATGCCTTACGAGACCATCAAAAACTTTCGCTTTCGTAACGGCTCAAGAACTCGGTCAGCAGGTGAGAGACCCCTCTTTATACAAAAGTATTTATCAGGGCCACGCTACTGGCCCTTTAATATCCAAAGATATGCTGTTCTAATAGCGAAAGTTCGACGGTCAGAGTAGGAATTATGTACATGTTGGATAGTCACGCGACCTCTTTGTCTTTAAAAGATTTGCTGTAACTGATTTAAGCAAAAAAATACGTTCTCAAAGCCCTATTTCTGTTTTGTTTTCTTAGGATACAGTTGCTTCTTATTTCATTTTTGAGAACGACAAAGCACAGCCCATAAATCACAGCCATAAATCATGCCAAAATTTTTTTTTTAAAAAAAAACTCTTACATTTATGACAAGATTGAGCCTATAGGCGCCTGTCAGAGCCTATTTTGTCAGGTAAGTTGCTGCTTTGAGTACATATCCTCGATCGTTAAATGAGTTGGACCAAAGTTAACTCAATGACTGGCCTTCGTCCTTTATTTCCCTCCTCGACCACTTAATTGAAAATCAGTGCCGCCAATGCATTGCTGTAAGGAGGGGACACATTCCTTACTAGGATCTATTTTTATAACATTTTAGTGATAATTTTCCACATGAAACTATGATGCATTAGCTTTTTTAGAAAAGAGCATTCTTGCCAAGTTTACTTTTTTTTTTTTACAAATCGTATTTGCGTTAGAATTTATGAAGATATTTATCAGGGATTTAAAAAAGAACTATTAAATACACATTTCTTCAAATGTTTTGCTCCGATGTTCGCTCATTTTAAAATTAGATATAGAAAGCATGTTATACCTAAACTTTTGAAGGGCAGTATATTTTTAATAAATTATATTCTCTCCAATTTACTCTATGTTCTATACTGTGCTCTAAGAATGTGTATAGGACATTGCAACAGCCTTTCATAGAACGTCAGTCCGACATTTTAGAAAGAATCTCTCAATGCGTTTTTGGAAACAATATTTTCAATTTGTCTCGAATTAGTCACGTGATTAATCTCCTCAGTCTCGAACTCAGGAGCTCTGTGCTTATTTTCATCCGTACGCAACATACCTGCTTCATTGTTTTTACTGTAATTACTGTAATTAAATTGATAAGTCAGGTAACATATCACCCAGTCTAGAAATCCACTATAAATTACCTGTTTTAAAAACTCATTGATTTCTTTTTAGTTTCTCATACTGAACAATTCTTTAGGAATAGAAATGAAATGATAATCATTTAATTAAAACGTTTTCAAGAAATTAAATCCCAGTGCCCTTGTATTAATAGTTTATGAAATGTGAGTTATTGTAATAATAAACCTACGTTTCTAAGCCTATTTAAAATATTTGCCATTTCGTTGTGACCTTGAGCAAGAGCAGTTATTTCAGCAACAATACCGTCCTGAAACACAAAATAGAGCACTTTAGAATTTTTTGCAATTCATTACATGTGTAATTAAACAGTAGTTTCTTTAATGTAGATAAACACCATTACAAGATGTTGCATAGTGATTCTTCGCCCCGTTACTGTGTATTGACATTCCATAATTCATCAAAAAAAAAGATTAAATTTCAATAAAGGAGGAATTTCAAAAAAAGGTGGAATTTCAAAAATCCAAAACTAATTCGAAACTTTAAAAAGGTCTATAAGGGACCTTTTCAAAGCAAAAAAAGAAAAAAAAAGATATGTATTACATTAACAAGCCAATACACTGTCGAAAAAGTAAAACATGAACATTTAGTAACCATAAAAAAAATTAAATGACCTATTTCACATCTTCAGATGTAAGGGAACATGGCGGGGAAAAAAATAACAATTCTACTTCTTTTAAAAAAAAATCAACTTAGAAAAAAGAAACACCAGAAATTAAAGCACGCATTAATAACGTTTCGTTAACATTTTTATTCTAATAATGTGCAAAATTTCATATTTTTTGAACAAAATTAAAAAAAACTTTTTGTTTTTCGATATTTTCATAATTTATTGAAATTACATACATTTGCTGACTTGTGTGCTCAATATAGGCTTATAAGTCATTGTCAAGTAGAANTTTTAGTATAAGTTGCAATGGTAATTGTAGTTCAAGATGAGCGTTCGATGACGTATACTATCAAACTCACAAATGGACCAATCAGGGGTTAGCGCTGATTTCCAGCTGACTGCGTCCTGTCCTAAGAAACCAGGCCTTAAGGGAACGATCACAATTCTACTTATTTTAACACTCTAAACTAAAAAAGAAAAAAAAATCCACTTAGAAAAAAGAAACACTAGAAAATAAAGCACGCATTAATAACGCTTCGTTAGCATTTTTATTCTAATAATGCGCAAAATTTCATATTTTTTGAAAAGGTCTATAAGAACAAAATTAAAAAAAAACTTTTTGTTTTTCGATATTTTCATAATAAATAACAGCCCGGCCTAGTGTGATCCGTTACTTTATTATTTCCACAGAAATTTTCCCCACAAAACTTTAACAATACGAGAAAACTTAGTATTACAGATCTGACCGATTTTACAGTTTCAAATAATAAATTAGGTTAAGCGAAATTCACGCTAAACAGATTTTTTTCCAGCAGCTAAACTAGCTCACGACGGTTATAAAATCAAAGTAAGATAGAAAATGTATACTTTGTTCTTCAGTTCTACGTTACATCCAGCCAAGCATAGACATCGTACCAATTCAGTGTGACCATTCTTAGCCGCCAAATGCAACGGATAAAATCCTTCCTGAAATATAATAAGGTAATTTACTACACAATTACTCATAAATATCGCTAACTGTACTATTTATTTAAGGTATTCTGAAATAACTGCTCTAAACATTTGAAACATATTTAAAATACTCATCAAAAATGAAATCTAAGGATTAGAACATTAATATTAGTCGAATTATTATTAGCTAATAGCTAAAAAAAAATTTCTGACTCTCGTGTACAAAATTATTAATTAATTTAGTGGTAATTTATTTTATTTTTTCAATTTGTTTCGGAGAAGCAGATATTCGTGTTCGAAAAATATTTTAATAAATTAAGAAGTTATGTTTTGATTGGAAATTATGCATTTTCAATATGTTAACAGGAATATATCACTATGTTAATAGCATTTTCAATATGTTAACAGAGATGTATCAATATGTTAATAGCATTTTCAATAAGTTAACATAAAAAAGTAGACTTTTTTACCCGTAAGGATTTTAAAGGCGAAAATAATATGATTTCCCACACACGTTATCACAATCAGTCTCAGGAATATCAGAAAATTCAAGATTATTTTCAATTTTACTATAAATCTTTTTTTTTTTCAGTCCATATTTTATTTTGTTTTTCTTTAAATTCACTTTGCTTACATTCTTATTATTCTAATTTTTTTACTCCCAAAATTTTCTTTTCTTTAACATTTTCTTTTTTTTTTTTTTGTTGTTCTTACATTTGGCATTCTTGTTTTTCTACTTTCTTTATTGGTATTTTATTACAAACATTAACCAGGATTTCAAGAAAAATGTGTAAGGACAAATTGCTTTCATAATCAGAAAAGGTCATCAGTCTTCTCAGATTTTGCATAACTACCTGTTTAACTCAATTTATCACAAAATGAAATACAAAGCATGCTTTCAAATTTAATATGGTATAAGGTAAATCAGTTTTTAAAATTTGACTGACCTAGCTGTTTTCCTTATTTTTAATCTGAAGTACAAGTTTGGTTAATTTTCAAATTTCCCTGGCAGCAATATTTCCCAAGAGTAACTTAATTTTTGTCTGTGTTGATACTTAATTTTCAATTACGAAGGTATAAAATTTTAGGCAAAAAAACAAAAAAATATAAAATTTTTTGGACTGTGGTTCTCATAAAGTTGCTACCACATAATAATTCTAGCAAAGCTTTTTCACATTTAGGAGTTGGATTTAGATTATTATGATTCGAATAATTTTTTAAGCTGGAAGTTAGAAAACCAGACACAAAAATTTATTTTCTCCGAAATAACACAGGAATTTTTGTGGGAGATTTGTCACAAAATTTCTAAAATAGTTGGAACATTGTTAGAACGTTGTTGTTGCTTCTAATGCCACTTGCCACACGGGGGCAAGTCTGCTTGGTGAAACCGAGAAATTTAAGGCAGAGTGTGCGTTTCTTGTTTTTCAGTGGCGCCATCTATGGCCAAGAATTCGACTTCTGCCACACCGTATGTCGCACCTGTTTATAGGGCGGACCAATTCATACATCCATTCATTCATCCACAGATCGTAATTTTGACCTGAATCAGAGAACGATCGATCTCCAATCCAGTACCCACAGAGGTATTGATTTGTTATGGGAACATGGAAAACTTTTGCGACTCGACAGATTTTACGTGCATCAGTCACTTTACTACACGGGGAGTCTTCGGTCGGCGGTGTTTGAACCCGCGAACTCTCGGACATGGGCCTAGCGCCCTACCGACCAGGCTATCCCGGCACTGTTAGAACGTTGTTGCATTAGTTTAAAAAAATTAAAACTATAATAAAACTATTATTTTTCTTATGTTGCAGCAAGTATGTCGTTGTTAAATTTCTTTAGTATAATTTTTATGTTTAATCCATATAAATACCTTATTCTGAACTTCAACTTTACAGCCAAAAGCACAGAGGGTTTGAGCCATTGGTAGCAAGCCTTCTCTAGCAACAATGTGGATTGCAGCTTCTCCTTGCTACATAAGAGAATGAAGTAATTTAAATGCAGGTACAGAGAAAATTTATGAAATATTATTTTGATAATTTAAGTCATTTATGAATTATAAAAAAGTTTTTATAAACCATGTTTTTTAAGTTGAACAAAAATGAGAATATAGTTTTATTTTCGTCACTCCATGCGAAAAACATAAATTGTAGCAACTCTTCGGAAAACTTTTTTAATTAATTTTAAGCATTCAAAACATCAAATTAGTTATTAAACAACCATTATATGTTTCAAGAAATAATTAAAAAGCTACGGTATAACCATAAAATTGAAATGATAGTCGTCATGTTTCAAGTGCATCAGAAATAGGTGGCCATTTATAATACTTGACAGACGTAAAAGTTACTGAAAAGGTTTGGTTTTTTGTTACATTATCTATTTTTGATGCGCTTGAAATATGTCAACTGTCATTTCAATTTTATATATTTTTGAAGCGTATGAAATTTACTATCAGGTAATATCTTACCGTTCTAGTTTCTTGGGCTTATTCATTTAATTTATGGTACCTATACTTAATGCTTTTGAACAAGTTATTAATGCAATTACAGTCAGACCTCTATTTAACGAAGTCGCTAAATCCCGGTAATAAGTTCGTTATATGGAAAGTTCGTTAAATAGAAAATCATCTTTTGAATTACTTAAACGACACAAAACAGGCTTCAAATTCATAAACACTAGACATAATTAAAATAGCAATGGATACAGATTTATATTGTAAAGTAGTATCTACTATTTATTTTATAAATCTTAATCATAAAAGAAATCTGCATGGAAAGCAAGAATAGAGAAAAACATTATTCAGTACTACACAATCATGTTACACACATTTTCAACCAAAAAAAGTTAAATTTATGCATAAAATTATAGATGCATTTGTTATAAAAGTAATTTTAAACATACATTACCACATGCGTTCGAAAGTTTAATTGTTACTGATAAATTTCGTTAATTTAGTCTGAGTTTTCCGTTCGAAATGCGAACAAAAAGGGGAAGTGATTTTACTGCTTTCTCTAAAAATCAAGTGCCTTTGAAATTCAATTCAAGGTTATTTTTCCATTAAAAGGCGTTAACAAGTTTAAAAATGTTCTGAAATATTTTGGGAAATAGGAAAAGTGGATCTCAAAGAAAAGTTCGTTTAATAGAAAATTCACTTGGCTATTTAGAAGTTATTTCACGAAGAAATTTTCGAAATGTTCTTGGTTCCTCGAAAAAATTCACAAAATAGAGAAATTCCCAAAATGGAAGTTCGTTATATAGAAGTCCGACTGTAGCTGCCAAAAACACTATTAATTATGGTCAAAATATTAATTTTCTAGTTAAAAAAATTATTTCAAGTGTTAGAGATCAGTAAATCAATAGTTTACGCATTTTTGGCACATTCACGAGAGCTTTGGCTAATAAAAAAGCATAACGAAACAGCTTTTTTTTGATAATGAGATATAAAAGAAACTGATCCCGCTATCATTTGTAACTGATCCCGCTATCATTTGTAACTGATCCCGCTATCATTGACCCCCGCACCGATTCCGGAGTGACGCAACGGAAAAAGTTCCAGATTTGCATAGCTGTTACCTCTAGAATGGAGAAGATCAATACGACAATACCCAAACAACACCCACACTTCCCCAATAATGTGATACCATTTTACATTTAAATGTAGAAAAAACAAGAATTAATCGATTAAAAATCAAGCGTAGAATAAATAGTCCATATCGATCCCTGGTGGTCGATATAATATAACTAGGAGTCGATTAGAGGTCAGTGAACGATTTTTAATTTTAATTTGTTGAAAGTAAATTCTATATTACGATAAATCATTGCACATAATTAAATTTAAATTAATCAAAAAGATCTAATTTGTTTCTTCAACACCTCAAATCGCAAAAAAAATTTCAAAATTTTGTTATGTGGCGTTTCCTTTTTTAATTGCCTTTATTATTTTTTTTAAAATTTCATTCCTAAGCTCATCTATGATTGAAATTGACTTCAATCATGTTAATTATATTTTAACAAAGCAGAGAAAATGTGGAGTTCCTAATTATTCCGATTATTAGAAAATATCGATATGAAACTTATTTGTTTCTCTATCTATCGCATAAAGAACACATGTTTATATATATATATATAAATTAAGATAATCCATTATTTATAAAAAAAACATTATACAATATTATATTAACTTACGTTATCCAATATTTCTATGTTGCATCCACTTTGCAAAAGCATTATAGCAAGAGCAGTGTGGTGTTTATGTATAGCTAAATGTAAAGCAGTACATCCTTTCTGCAAAAAGAAGAAGAAACATCATAATTAGATTCTTAATGAAGAGCTTATTGTACCAGGTAAACGTCATTTTTGCAAAAAATTTAGATTTCTCGGAAAAAGTTTTTATTTTAGTCTTACTTAAATATATAAAAAATTCTCCATGTTCTCATAACAAATCAATACCTCTGGGGGTACTGATCCAGAATTTCCCTTGTCTTCTGGATTGGGTTCAAAATTACAAAGCTACGGAGTTGAACATTAGTAGTCGTGAAACCAGAATTGGGTCGGCTGTTCAACGATGGTTATAAAATAAAATAAAATCTTCTGATGCTGGGTCGAGATAGTCTGATTGGTGGAGCACTGGACCCATAATGTTCATGAATTCGATGCCCGCCGGCCGAAGACACCCCGTGTAGTAAATGGTGACTGATGCGCGTTAAATCGGTCAAGTCGCAAAGTCCTCCATGTTCCCATAACAAATCACTACCTCTGGGGGTACTGATCCAGGAGTTTGCTTGTCCTCTGGATTGGCTCAAAATTACAAGGTTACGGAGTTGAACATAAGTAGTCGTAAACCCAAAATTGGGTCGGCTGTTCAACGACGGATGTAAAATCTTCTGATGCAAATTTTACTCTATTTTACTTCTTTTTGGTTAATTTTGATAGATATTATTTATATTTAATATATGTTTACGTTTCTGTTAGTTTTTTGTTTGAGTTAATGATAATTATGCTTTAGTTTTTTTTTTTTTTTTTTTTTTTTTTTTTTTTTTTTTTTTTTTTTTTTTGTGTTTACGTATTTTTTTTTCTTTCAGTTCGTTGTTTCTGTTTGTTACATACACTTAGCATTTTTCTATTCCTTTTCCTTTTTCACATTGAACGAATAATTTTTCATATTTCAAGATGCCACGTAGAGTGAAACTGCTCACTCAAGCAAAAATCAATTATTATTATTTGATTGCTTGAGAATTTCAACGTTCTCTGATTAATAGTGTGTAATTTTTTTAAAAATATATATCTATAGCGTACGAAAGTGCAAATTTAAAAAAAAAATTCAAAATTCTATCCCGAAAAGGAAATAAAATCCTGGTTATGGCTCTGGGAGAAATTTTTATAATCTTTTGTGATGATAAATAAAAAATTGAACTTGCTAAAATTTATTGTTTCATAAAAATAGATTATAAGACTTGCAAAATATTGTGTTTTATGATCTAAAAAAGTATTAATAAGTAATTTTGAAAATATGCATTTATATTAGTTTTTTGCATAGATTTTTTAACATTGGTTACAAATACGAAAAGAGATTTTTAACCTCTCTCTATAGGCTGAAGATTCAGCGTTGCTAACACGGTTTGTATAGTGCTTTATAAATATTAAACACGATAGAAAAAATTAAGAGGTTAAAAACTATTTTAGCATACTTATAATGAGAGTTTTTTTAGAAATGCCATAGGGATAATCATAACTGTAAAATTTGCAGTCTTGTGGTTTCATTTTGAAAGAGAAAGCTAATAGTAAATTAGTGAAAGCTCTAAAGTTTTTAGATATTCAACAAATCTCAATGACTTTGAAGTTTCAAAAATAGAAGTTATTATAAGGGTATCATTTTCCTATTTCAAATTCAGATGAGTATTTCAAATATGTTGCGATTAAAAATTACTCGCAAAATTATTATTTTATTATAAGGACAAAGTATTATACATTTTTTCCACCACGAGTGATATGCAGTTTGAAAAGTTTAAAGAGAAAATTTAATGAAAAGTTTCAAACTCTGAATCTATAATACACAATATTGCTACTAGAATATTGTTAACAATTTACCGGAGAACAGTGGAATTAATATTTTACTAAGTTTCACGGATGAGAGCTACCATTGACACATACTAAAGATGCCCCCCCCCCCTGTTTAATTGTCTATGGAAATAGGATCAAGGGAAAGGGTATTCCATTACATTCACTACATTATCAAAGAGCCAATGCCATGAAGATTTTTCTATGTGAATGGAGGCGTCTACTGAAAAATCCAACTTCAACAAATTATTTAGATTAGCAGATAGCCTCTGCAATTTCTTTGAACGCATCACCCAATTTAATCTGAACTTTTCATATTGTATATATATAAAGCCGTCATTCAGTCGACCCCTTTTTTTGGGGTTTACAAGTACAAATGTTCGATTCCGTAGCCTTGTAATTTTGAATCTAATCCAGAAGATAAGGGGGGGGGGCAGGAGCCTCTGGAACCTCTGGAAGAAATTTTCTTCCGTGGAGGATTTTCTGATTGAACTAACCCACGTTTCCGTTACATGGAGGGGAAATCCTCGAAAACCTCACATGGTTAGATTGACGGGAAGGGGACTCTAACCCATGATCCGCCCACCACTTGAGAATATTTTACGTCTGCACTATAGTCGGTGCAAGCCGGTTGCGGAATTCGTATCGACCAGACATTGCTGGGATTCGGAACCTGTTCACCCCATTGGAAGGCGAACACTATCCCCATAGCCACCGCGATTCCATATGGTGGGTTTAAGTTTACTACCATAGTCAGAGTCCTTACCAAACCTTTACTGAGTCTTCATTTTGGTGTATATAAGAATTTTTATGCTATGCCAATATAAAGCGAAGCCGTCTGAGTCATGGAATATTTTTTCTTTCCTGCATTTCTTTGCTTACTTTTGAGCCTGAGTTACTGTTAACCTAAGTCGCAAATTGATTGAAGGATATAAAAACAGTAGTTAAAAAGGCGAACGCCCCATTGACAGCAAAATGGTGTCTCAATAATAGTGTCAGAAAAAAACTTCACGTTTCCCCTGCCGTGGATTTCCAAAACTGTTAGAATTATTACCATTTACACAGTCTTCGTGTGTATGGATTTTAGATAATAAGTTTCATGTCCTTTCCCCTTATCTTCATAAAAATGTGAGAGGGTATACTCTATAAACCACTATTAGCATATCTAGTGCAATGGCTGAAAGTTCAGTTAGGATGGTATCATTGAATTTTGGGATGATATTCAAGCGATTGTTCTCCAAGGATTGGTATAGTAGGCAACATCATATCTAACATGTTTGCCATTAACAATAGAGGCTTTATTTAGACGGAACACTTTTTTCCCCAACCCAGGTAACTCCTTAAAAATATGTATTAGTCATCCTTAATATACTATGTTTTTTTACTCATTGGTTTCTTTTGTTTCTAATTTCGGCACAAAATCGGTTCAATTTCAGTGGAACAATTTTTATTTTGATAGAAACAGGTATACTATATTTTAGTTATGAGTGAGAACATTCTTGTTCATTTGGCTCTGCGGAATAGACTTTTAGGGAGATTGTCTACACACCTTTGTATCTACTCTTCCACTGATCTCGATAAAGAGGATTGCACTGATCTCGTAAATTGAAGCATGACAAACTCTGTGGGAGTGGCTGTTTTCTAAAAGTTATCTCTTAAATTATACAAATAACCAGCATTTTAATTTTTTATAAGCAGATTCCAGAATTATTTACTTCATAGAACGAAATTATTGTTAACTTTTATTTAATATAGGAAATACATTTTGTCTACTTCCTTATTATCGATATAGACAAAAATCAAGGGAGGACTAGTTGTACGGAAATGCGGTAATGCCAAAATTCTACCTAACTTCCTCCCCATTCTCGTTTTTTGACAAAGTGGACTACAAGATTGAATCAGCAAACCAACTACCGAATACAGATCAGTGAATTCCACTCACAACAATATCACAATAAAAAAGAAATTACATTGCTAGAGTTCATATAGTTCAAATTCATAACACAAATACATACTTTGTTTTGCATATCCGTTTTAGCACCAGCATTTATAAGGCAACGAGCTGTATCTAGATTACCTCGAAAGGCTGCTAAATGCAACGCAGTATCTCCTTCCTAAAAATATACAATAAAGTAAGGAATTTTAAAACGAAATTAACTTTCACCTTTGAAACGTTGCGAACATTAAATGCACATTTTCTTTGACTCTAACTAAAAATCTGAGTTAAAATAACAATAAATTGGTTACAAAGTAAAAAAATAATTTATTTGTGATACTTTTAAAAGTTTTACAATGTTATACAAAAATAAGCTTAAATTTCTTTCGAACCTGCCTGATATCCTGCTTGATATATCCAGTAATTTTTATTTTAGCCCATTTGAATATTGTTGTGAATAAATAAATACACTGACCTCCAAAAGTAAAGGTACAACTGTTCTATGTATATTTTAAAAACAAATGAACATGTAGAAACAAGAAATTTGGTTAAAATGTCCACTTAACATTTTTCTTCTCATATAAATTTACATAAATTTAAATACAAATATAGATCCCAGGGTCAATTAACATGACCACAGCAGCCATTCATAATGCCCTAAACGCGCTTGCGAAGATTTTGAAACTCAATGTAAATTGAACTTTATCGTATGCCGCGAAATGCTCCATTCTTTCGCTTCCATAATGGTCGATTTATCCGATAAAAGAGTTTAAGTAGCGTGAATTTGGTTGATAGTTTGATATGGAGAAAGCTCGGTCGAAAATTGCGCAGCAATTTTCGGGGTTGGCGAGCGTTAGCGAGCAGGGGGCGCATCCCACTAGTTATGTATATTTGTTTATATTTTTGAAAAGGAAATATTCCGGAAACTTTAATTATGTTTAAATTTTTTGAGGGAGAAAATCTATTTCTCCTCAAAAAGAACCACACACAAGTCACCCATAATTTAGTCAACACTAAGGGACTTACTCCACTTGCCTGTTTTAGTTTCAAATCCTCCCAACTTAAAAGTTAGTGATATTTAGGCAACAAATTAAAACTTTAGCAAGTAATAAAAAAAGAAGCCGATCAAAATATTCTCTAACAATAAGGATCTTACTCACTTCATTTAATTGATTAATATCATCCGAATGTTTAATGAGCATTTCTACAATGAGCGAATGACCATGCTTGGAAGCCAAATGCAACGGTGTATCACCATACTGAAACAAACAAAAATTAAATGAATCATTTTTGCAACAAAAACTTCATCAACTCAAATGGTATAAGGCTGTTATCAAAATTTTTAAACTTTTCTGAATCCCAGAAAAAAGCTCGCATTTTCAAATAATAATAAATAAATAAATAGGTTACAGCTATTTATTTTTAAGGTTCTGTTAGCAATAAACTCGTTATTTTGAGTGAATGCCGTAAGCGCTTAATTTTAGCATTCCATTAATTTAAACTTCTAAAATCAATTAATAAAAGAGCAGCGGTAGCTGCGTTAATATATCTGTTAAATTTTTAAGGTCGCTGATTGGAAAAACCCTGTTTTTATTCGTAAGTTTGCCACAACCTAATGTGTGTCCTGTTAAAAATGCACTTTGTTTTTCATATCTCTTTGTTTTTCATATAGGGAGTTTCTCTCTACGCTGATTTCCCTTATCTCGTTGGACACTAAATCTATCTTAAATACTGACCCAACTTGCTTGATACAGTAAAACCTCGTAACCATTGGCACCGTCAATTTTCCAGACAAATGGCGAGGGGAGCTCTTTGCATATACAGATTATATTTGGGTCGTATTCGGTGTCATATTATTGTGTAAATTGGCCTTAGATGCTTTTCTTTTTCTGAATAACTGTAAAATTTTACTGGCTCAATTTTGTTCTAACAATTAAAATTATTCAATTCATTTGCTAATAATAAGTATGTTATAGCCACTTACTTTGTTCGGCGAATTCAGCGATAATCCATGCTGTTGCAAGAACACAATCACGTTTTTATGACCTTGTCTAGCAGCCCAATGAACACCATTCTCACCATTCTAAATTTAGAAAGGAAAACTTAACAACAATTTTTTTATTTATTTTTTCTTTATTTGGAATATATGATAAAACATTTTTAAAATACAGTTAATTGGAAGAAAAAGAAAATGCTATGCTATAATAGTTATTTTGCACGCATTTGCGATTTGAAATGTAATAAAGGACATAGTATTCTGAATAGTCTTGAAATAATGTAACAATTCTAAAAAGTTATCAGATTTTTTTTTTTTTTTAAATTTCTCCTACTTCACAAAGGTTGTCGAGATGCATACTTAATTTAACTCCCTATTTAATATACTTTGCATTTTAATTATTTAAAAATGTTCTTTACTTATAAATTAATTTTTATAAGAGTAAAATTATTACGATTAATAATATTTGAGTTTCGATTATATATTATAAAATTATTACACGTAATAGATTAACGATAAATGATACACAATTTAACGAAAAATTATGCATCATACTTGTTTTTAATTTTAAGAAATTAAAAATAATTTTAAGCAATACCTTTTTGCTTAAAAATTTAAATTCGAAAAGTGTTTGACTATATAATATTTATCTAATTTTTCTCCTTACGAAAGAAAGAAAAAACCATTTGAACTAGGCCTAGACCTTGATTTAAACTAAGCCTAGAAAAACTATTTGAACTCGAACCTGACCTCTAAATTTGTGTGTGTGTGTTTTCTCGTTGTCGTCTATAAATATTGAAATCAAATCATGACTAATTGCATCCTTGAAAAGTTGAAAGTAGATCCCCAAGATATCCACTCCATAGAGGTGTGCAAGTCAGAGGCTGAACTATATCACTTCATTTAATGAATCGTCGTACCCTTAATAGTGTGGTTGTGAATGCAATCAGTTGTTCACACAAGAAGTTGTTGTTTGAAGAAAGAGACGCATTCCAATCGGTTGCTTCGAGTAACTGATTAATAATGAATGAATCTTCAGCTGGCAAATAATTGAAGAGATGTCAGCTTAGACATCTCATGACGATTTAATGAAAAGATATGCCAAATGGCAACAGTGTTCCTTCGATGACCCAGGGTCAGAAACAGCGCCTTTGAACTACATTTATCGCCACAATAGCTCATAAACTGCATAATCACTGCATGTGAATTTATATAACTGTAAATTTTTTTTTATTCGATTTCACACCATCCGATTACGATCGATAAGAGTCCTGCAATTCTGATTATATTATTATTCATTTGTTTATGCTTCGCATCTACGTTCAAAGACAATTTCATTTAAATCTGTTCAAAAGATCTGGTCATTATGTGGTCTACGTATCCCACATAATTTTGAACGCGAATGTCGTAAAAAATGAACTAATAAATGTGCGTGTTCTCATGGGTTCAATACCTTTTTTTAATGAACAATCACAGCGATGGCATTCTCACTTTATCCCTCTGTGTAATTTAGCAAAATGATTGCTATTCAATGATATGTCTGACTTTGGGAAGGGAATGTACTTCGATCAAATCTAGATAAAATGTTGAAATTATATGATTTATAATAGCCGCTGTTTTATGTTGACAGACCAGAGAAGAGGAAATGTTGGTTGCTAGGATACAGAAACAACTTATGGAATGAATTTTTTTTTTTTTTTTTTTGTTTTTTGTTAGCGATATGTATTTTTTTTTAAGTAGTTGTGCGAAATGAACCTGCAGAAAAGACCAATAAAATTACTTAAGTTCTAACCAAGTTATTGGTAAAGTAATTGGTTAAGTTATGGAGTGCCGAAGTTCACATATAAACGTACTTTATGAGTATTAGTTTTACTTTCAAGCTTGGGAATCCATTTGTAATTATGAATAATCTTGTTCCAGAAGATTTCGTTACAATTTTTCTACTGCCGCACCCGTCATGTTATCACTCTTCAATAAATTCACTACTGAACTAGCGTTCAACCTGTCGTCGCAACGACACTGCAACCCTCCAAGCTTAGCTACGAAGAACTAAGCGCCCCTATGAGGTATTGAACACAACAGTATTTGTCACATATCTGCCACGTGTAAGGGGCTTTCACAACTGAGAACCCTGTCATAATTCGCTCCTTGTCATGCAAGCACAAGATAACTACAGGGTTATTCATAATTCCCTCCGGGGTTTCGAAGCGTTATAGTAAAAAGCGAAGACGAATATGGCAAAAAAGAACATATTAAATTATTCCGAAAGTATTCAAGTTTTAATTTAAGCAGTTGCCGGTAGATGGCAGTAACATGTACCACTGAAGCCAGTTGTAGTAAAGAAAAATGACGTTTACAGGTGGTGGGAATTATGAATAACCCTGTATGTATCGTCGAATTTCTCGGAAAACATACTTTTTTTTTTATATGCCGGGAAATATTTTGAAAAATCAGAAAAGCTCAATTTTTTTAAGCAAGATAGTTTCGTCTTATAGAGAATATAAACGAAAAGCAAAACCGCACCATGCAAAAACTAACAGATGAGAACGCCATACTCTTTTTAAAATAATTTCTTTAAAAAAAAAATTAACAAAGTTTAATAATCATAATACTTATTCATTTTACATGATTTCAAAACCAGAATATTATATGATACTTCAAAACTTCCCAGCAATGAAATCAAGTTTGAGGAAATTGATTCTGCATCTGATATTAGTTATTTAACCCTTTCGCGCCGACTGTCACAAATACGTGACACCATAAAACCGTATCAACCAGGGTAAAAATATAAAACTGGTAATCAAAGTATTTCTTTAGCAGTTTATTTGTGGGCGGAGTTATAATTGTTTGATTTATTTATTTCACCATTACTTTGTTCAAAATAAAAGTATTTAGTTATACTTTGAATTAACATTGATTATATATATGATTAAACTAACAATAATTAAAGTAACAGCAAAGTAAGTCTGTCAAATTAGAAACGACTACATTTAAGTTACCGCTTTTTATTTAATTACATCCTGATCCTGATTTTGTACGAATGCTTTCATGAATCACCCATCCCCAAGGGGTTAAAAAAGAATATTTATTGTACACATAAATTAATGTTTTCCATAAATATATGGGTGTTCTCAAACCNGTTTGGAATTCGACAGCATAATACAAGATTTCGTTGAATCCAAAAATCGCAAAAAAGTAATATATTAGATCATAAGATTCTGCAAAATAATTTATTACCGAAAAATATTATATTTTTATTTGCATCTTCATAATTTTGTGCAAAATACACTTGTTGTTTTTAAAGCTAAATTATTTTTGTCAGCAAATTTTTTTCTCCCAAGTTTTTCGTAGGCCCCTGAATTTCGTAGGCCCTAGGCATGTGCCTAGTGTGCCTATAGGCTAATCCGGCCCTGATGCGACGGTATCTCAACATCAGCAGTTCTTAAAGCTCCGAAATTAAACGTGTCTACTTTTTTCTTAAATATTGTGGTATCGTTTTAATCCTTGTTCGTAAACCTTGTAGTTAACGTGATTTTTTTCTCTTTTTTAAATCTTAAATTTCGACATTTTATGCTTCTTTGAAATATCACTGATCGTTTCTCTGAGATTCAAAAACCACTTACTGCATCAATCCGAAATAAATCTGCACCTTTGAAATGAAGGAATCTCAACACATCCAGTTGACCCATGCCAGAAGCTATGTGTACGAAACATTCTCCCTCCTGAAATGATTAAAATGAAATTTTTTATTGTTTGTCGTTTATTAAACTATATATCAAATTATAGTCAAATATAGAGGACTAAAGTATACATATAACATAATATATAGGACAAAAAGTAAACACGTAGTCAAAATCTGGCGAATCAAAGTCACAAAATAAAATTAGATTCATCATATAGTTGCTTCGTTGAACTAAAAAGTATTATAGCAATATTTTTGTCATAGAAATGAATATGTTAATTACATTATTCAATAAAAGTTATTGCGTTAATTACTTTGTCCAATCGAAGTAGTCAATAGGAACGCGTTAGAGATTTACGCAGCAAATAAACGGTTTTAAGGATTTTAGTTTAATATATTTCATTACGATGTGTATTTAGTTCACTTACTAGAGAGATTTTGCAAAGCGTTTGTTTCATGGTAAGCACAACGCTGACCCTGTTCTCTATCCCGAAACAAAATACGAAACGCAATTGAATACGTTAGGGGAAACCGTAACACTTTTCAAAACCTCTCTTGCTTAATAAACTTTGATAATTCTTATTTCGCGAAAACTAGTAAATTGTACATAAAATAACGTAAAACAATTAATTCGCTTAAAAAAGAACTCGCTCATAATTAAATCAAAAAATAATAAGAAAAAAAAGTTATATTAGCAATTGTTTAAAGGGACATTATTTCCGATCAAACAAGCTATATAATTGTGTATGTTACAGTAAGTAGCCAAATTCCTTTTTTTTTTTAAAAAAAGCGGAATTACTAGTAAAAAATACGAAACTTCTAGGAGCATCTGTAATTTTTTCGTTTTTTTCTTCGGAGGTAAGGAAAGACCTTCAGTACAAAAGCAAAATCAAAGAGGCTAGTACACACTTCGCAGTTTTACTAAACGATGCATAAAAACGGATTATGTAGAAAGTTTTTGTGTTTATAAAACTTTCACCAAAGATAGCAAAGAAGCGAAATAACATAGAACGGTGTCAAATTTCATTCGTTATTGGAATTGTTGATTGTGTTGATGTAAGCTACAATGTGAAGGTTAACACAACACAGTTAAGGGAATAAGAAATTCGTTAAAATTACGTATGTTTTTTTTAGAAAAAACACGCTTTAGAACAGGTTTCCAAATGGTGAGCAAAAATTAACTAGTGCTAGAATGCTGTTGTTGTTGTAGTTCATTTACGTCGCACTAGAGCTGCACAATGGGCTATTGACGACGGTCTGGGAAACATTCCTGAGGATGATCTGAAGACTTGCCATCACAATTTTGATCCTCTGCAGAGGAAATGGCACCCCCGTTTCGGTAGCCCAACGACCTGCAAGCGAAGTTGAGCACTTTACGGTACAACAGTTTAACGAAGACCAATACCGCATACCCTCGGTCCCTACGCAAGTGGGACGAAGTGGTCATCTATCCGTACACTGATCGCAGCCAGTGATGCTTGATTTCGGTGATCTGCTTGTAACCTTGTCTTAACGATCAGTCCACTACGAGACAGTGCTGGAATGCAATTCCAACCATAAATATTGCAATATAGCACACGGAAATCCTGCTATCAGACGGCAAGTTATCTAAGATGTTAGGGTTTTTTTTTCTTTTAACTCTAGCTATTATTAGTTTTTGCAATGTAATTAGATAATTTCATCAATATTAGGCGCTATTAAAATCTATCATAAAAGGGAAGAGAATTAATGCAGCTGTAATCGGCAACAAATTTACACTTTAAATACTGTGCACATATATAAGACTATGTTTGGTACCTATTAAACTTATTAATTATTTAGTAAGAACTAAAAAAAAAAAAAAAAAACTCAGTGGCTTGACAGCCTATAGAGGGTCAAAGCCTACTGTGCCCATCTCAGTTTTCCTGACCTTGGGCTCTAGGGTGCAGGAACAGATGTCCCAGTTAGGTGGTCAGCCAAACGCGGAACCCCCAGTGTTTAGTTCCCAAGCATGTTTCGTACTCATTTATCGACCCACTGAAGGGATGAAAGACTGAGTCAACCTTGCCCGGCCCGAGGATCGAACCCAGGAATTATTTAGTAAAACTGGATCTATTAAAACTGTACTATGACACCCGTAGTACCTTTTAACAAAATTAAGCATTATTGGTGTCGATAATGGTGTCGGTTCACCGAAGCGAATAAGTATATTTTCTCCAAAAATTGGGTTTTTTAGTTCATAGCTTATTTTTATTTCCAATGGTACCTTTTACAAAATTTAACAAAGCATCATTAACGCAAGTAATAGTTTGCCGATTTTTAACGCTCTCATGAACGAATTAGCAACATTTTCCTGATTATTTTGCCTTTTGCTACTTAAACTTATAATTTGACTTCAGTTAGTAACTATTACCAAAATTAATTATCATTGGCATGAATAATAATATTTTTGATTTTATATGTTTATCCTCAACGAATTAGTTCCATTTCTCAATTAATTTTGATTTTTAGTTCAAAACTATTTTTTCTTATTTCAATGAATTTAATTTAAATTATTTAATTTAAATTATTAGCTAGCAAACGTCAATGATGTCATCTGTAAAATGTTTAACACAATTAAGTCGTTTATTGCTTACTTTGAAACAATGGCTGCCGCTTAGCCAATGAGAAAATTTCATTTTTAAAATTTATAAGAATTTAAAAGATGTCATTATAAAATCAAAAATGGCTGTAATTGTACTCATTTAGCGTCATGTTGAATGTCTATATTTTTAGAGCATACGGTTCACCTGCATTCCGGTGTACAGATACACACAAATTATTTTATTATATGTATAGATTAAGTATAATCAATTATTAGTAGTTATTCAACTATATGCGGGGGGGGGGGATGAATGTCAATCGGAGCTAAATTCAAGAAATCAAAAGCAATTTGCTGCATCCTGATCCAAAATTATTATTAGCGTTCCTAGTTTAATAAATTTGTACTTTCACCATTTCATAAGATTTATTACTAGTTGCCACTGCTATTTTAAAATATTTTTTACTCTGTTCAAAGAATTTTTAATTGATACAATAAGAC